ACATACATACATACATACATACATACATACATACATACATACATACACACATACATACATACATGGAGTCCGGCCAAAGTCTATAATTAAAAATAGATAAAGGGGTCGAAAGTAGCTTATGATGTTGTTTTTCAATTAGATTATGTAGCGGCCCCCAGCTAAACGTACCTATTCTGCAGCTGGGCGCTAGGTTTGGGGTAGAATTGCGCTAGTGTTTGACTTAGGACATGTTCAGAAGGTCGTCAGATTTTGAACAGTAGCTGCGCAAAAAATGCGCTGGCCGCGCTTTAGCACTGCGCTAGATCCGTGCTAGCAAACATTGCCAGATGCCAGCCCATGGACCCTTCCAAAGCTGACTTCCAACAAGTCTTTTGTTTCAAGCATGGCGTGAAGCTCGGAGATCAGCTGAAAACGGTGCAGCGCTAGTGACACCTCTTACACTTTGGTGCCAATACTTGTTTGGTCCACGCTTCCTTCATTAACCAGCTGTGTGTGTGCGCCAAAAGTCAAGAATTTGTAGCGGGCCCCCATGTGAATACGACTTTCAGCCTTTTTTGGAAGAAAACATTTCGACCAGATCGCGACATACACACATACATGCATACACACACGCATACACACAGACATGTACATATACATATACATAAACATACTCATTTACATACGCAAGTATACAAACAAACAAACATACATACATACATACATACATACTTACTCAGTCATACATAACCATACATAAAACATACACACATACATTCATACAATCATACAATCATACAATCATTCATTCATTCATTCATTCATTCATTCATGCATTTCATTCATTCATTCATTCACTCATTCAACCAGTCAATCAATCAATCAATCAATCTTTCGTTCATTCAATCTTTCATTCATTCATTCATTCAATCATTCATTCATTCATTCATTCTTTCATTGTATTCATTCATTCTTTCCTTTCCTTCCATTTTCATTTTCATTTCATGTCATTTCATTTTTGTTTCTTTCAAACCCATTTCATTCATGTCATTTTCATTTTCATCTCATTTCATTTCATTTCTTCATTGTTTCATTCATTTCATTTTCATTTCTATTTCATTTCATTCATTCATTCTTTCATTCATTTCATTCATTCATTCATTCGTTCATTCATTCATTCATTCATTCATTCATTCACATTTCATTTCATTTCATTTATTCATTCTTTTTTGGTTTATTTTATTTTAATTTCATGTATTTTGATTTGGTTTCATGTCATTTCATTCATTTCATTCATGTTCATACCATTTTCATTTTCATTTTCGTTTTCGTTTTCATTTTCTTTTCATTTCATTTTCATTTTCATTTCATTTCTTTTCATATTTCATTTCATATTTCATTTCATGTGAAAGTTCATTTTCATTTTCATTTCATTTCTTTTCATCATGTCATTTCATTCATTCTTTCATTCATTCATTCATTCATTCCTTCGTTCGTGCATTCATTCAGTCATTCATTCATTCTTTCATTCTTTCATTCTTTCATTTCATTTCATTTTCATTGTCATTTTCATTGTCATTGTCATTGTCATTTTCGTTTCATTTCATTTCATTCATGTTCATTTCATTTCTTTGTCATGTCATGTCATGTCATGTCATTTCATTCATTTAATTCCTTCCTTCCTTCCTTCCTTCCTTCATTCCTTCATTCCTTCATTCCTTCATTCATTCATTCTTTCATTCAATCATTCATTCATTCATGCATACAGCCCTTCGAAGTCCGTCAGACGAAGTCCGGCACGTCTCCACGACTCGGTGGCACAAATTGGCATGTTTTTTGACCGGCGCAGAAAGGGCGACTCTTTGTAATGCTGATTTATGATTTCATAGACAACCAAAAGAGTTTCAGCCTGGAGATGTAACATACCATTCGGTCTTACATTTTTCGTTCTTTGTGACGAGTAGCGGCCGACATCACGGTTCGCCATCTTCAACGATGCTTCATAGACTTGGACAGCTGATGTTCGTTCGATACCACATTCCGTTGAATTTCCAGACAATCCCAGCCAGATGTGGCTCACTATGAAGAGAACCTGAGACCGAACGTCCGCACACATCGAACGGCGTACACCAGGAGCACAGGTATTTCACCTGCACGGCCAAGCACGGGGTGTTTCACCACCCCGCGGCGGTGTTTCCAGCGCCGGCAGAGCTGGCAGAGATCCGGGAGTGCATCAAGGAGCTAGGACTCAAGGTGTTCTGGTGTAGGTGTGGCTCAACAAAATAGGACTTGAACTCCTTCAGGTATGTTTGTGTGTGCTGCGTGTGTGTTTGACGACCTTGGGCCATTTAGAGCAATATGACACATGATGGAAAACACACAGCAACCCCTTACAACCGGACAGATCATTTCCCGATGCTTCCGGACGAAACTATTTTTGTTGGCTGGTGAAATGGATACGAACAGATCCTACTGTTAGTGATGAGAAATCACAGATCATCCACGCAAAGGATTCTCACACCCTGGTGACGTGCTCCTTTGTACAACTGACCCTTGCACCAATCAATCATGATCCATCATGATCGAGCCAGCCCTGGGAGCAGGAGCTTCGGACGAAAGCGGATGCCTTGCATAAAGAGCAGGAGGCGACCACACCGAGCAGTAATGGCCTGATGGAAAAGCTGGAGCTCTTGCAGGAGCAACTGCAACTCTTTGAGCCTGAGGCAGGGACATAGGAGCACATTTTTTTGGAATCTTTCAAGGCGTCGCAATGAAAGAGGAGTTGAAACACCTGCAAGGCAGTTGTGTGTATGACGTCGTCGAACAGAGTGATCCCGGTGCGGGTCGCGGAAAGGCACCTCTGGTGGGGTCGTTCGGGGTTGAGGCATGGCTTCCAGGGGTCACAGATGGTTGGATCGGAGTGGCGCGACCTGGCCTTTGTTGGAGAGCTGTCTCACACAAACTTGGAAGGTGTATGAAAGTGTATCTGACCTTCACCTTCATGCTCTTGCAGAACTTTCATCACCTTCACCTTCTCTCTTAGCTTCACCATGAAATCTGCTGGAACCTTGACAGATGAGAAAGGCTGTTGGTCATGTTGGTCTCTTCAAGGTCCTGTTCCTTCAGGCGTTGGAGCTTGAGCTTGAGCGCGGCAGAGCTGAAGCACACCAGCTCCGAAGACAGCTGGCAGAAGCGAAGACGACAGACGCTTGGTCAAGTGTTGGGCCTCCTGTGGTGGGTGAAGGTGTTTTGCCAGTCACCTCAAGGAGCACAGGAAGATGGAGAAAGTAGGCATTGGGTTCAGCTAGACCACGGACTTGACCACGGACTGTAGCCGGAAGGGAATGAAGCTCATGCACCAAATCCGTAGGGAGGTTGTTTACCTGCTTGGAGAAGGGCTGATGTTGGCTGATGTTGAATGATGTGAATGGGAATTGGCCGGATGCACCGGCCAAATGTGATTGCAAGTACTGATGTTGAATGATGTTGATGCCGCCTTGGTCGCCTTCTCTTTGCTGCACCAAGGTGACTGAAGCGCAGACCAAGGCGACTGAAGTGCAGATGAATGAGGTTCGCAAACGATCGAAGGGTTGCTGAAGGCGGTGATCAAAGGATTTTGTGTATCGTGAAGTGCTTTGTTGTTCGATGTTAATGAAAAGGCCAGCTATGTTCCCCCATGGCTATAGAACTGCCATTTTGGGACGTTCTTTATAGAAGATAATATATATATATATAAGATTACACACTATATATATATGTATATGTATATTTAACAAAGAAACAACAGAGGTATCACAAAGCGACATGCTTTGACCAGCCCATGAGTCCTTAACAAGAACCAGAGTCGGAGTTATTTCGGCAATTGCTCCAGGCACAGCTTGCGAAAGACTCCCAGAGAAGCTTGACTTGGAAGTACGGTTTAGGGGTTGGGGGGGGCCAGTGGCTGTGCCCAGCAAACGGAGTGATTGGCTGTAGCAACCGTTTGTCTGGAAGGTCTGAGCAACCCCGAAAAACGGCAGGTCCTGTACCGGGCAGTGGCAGTGGTTTTCTTGCTGGATACGGACTGGCTCTTGACATTGCCTGCCCAAATCTTGCTGCTGGCTCGTGCTGCAGCAAGTCCCCAGGGTCGGCTCAAATGACTCATGCAAATATGGGAACCAGCGCAGTCAAGTGGGGCTTTATGTACCAGCACTTCCAACAGGTCACCAATTGAAACCTGGGCCTAACAACCCTCCAATGGAGACCTGTTGGAAGGTGCTGGTAGATACATGTGAGGCTTGGAGCAGCCCAACGAAAAGCCTCGTGGGCACCCGATGTGGCTGTCAGTTGGGGTGAAACCCGTCAGGTCAACATGCGTCTGCCGACCTTGATGCCAAGGCCGTAAAAAGCAGATCTTTCGACCCGGGGAGAGGGTCACACTATGCTGACCATGTGTGTGAGGAATGAAATTAAGAAGGGTTTGTGGAATTTTGAGATGAAACGAGTCTTCTCAGATTGAGCATATTAGTGTCCGTCAGACGTTCTTTTCGACCTTGAGCTGCTTCTCTGCTTCTCCTTCCACATTTCGTCTTGCCAATCTATCCCTGTTGAGCTTGATATTGTGTTTCCTTTTGGTCAGTTGGCCGCCCTGGAAAAGCAGCACGATGACTTCCAGCGGGGAACTCCAGTTATATTGTCTCGTGCAGAGAAAGATGTGCTTTGCTGCTGCAGAACGCGAAGATCATGATGGAAACTACTGCTGTAAATGGTCCAAAAAGACTTGCATCTGAACAGTAGGTCCTGTTGTTGACTTCGATGACTACCTAATTTATACAATTACAGCAAATTGAGTCTATACAGCCGTGACCAAAAAAGAGTCATAAGCATCAGCATCGTCACATGTAGTCACTACACCTTCTTCGACGAGTCCTTCGTCCACTGAGCGGAAGGATGTGATGCCGTGAACTGCTGAGGCGCTCAGCTGCTGAGAGGGCTCAAAAGTTGGAGATGCAGCAGGGGATCTCAGGGCGTTGATGGAGTGCAAGGGCCCATTTTTTCTGCCTCCACCGTGGGGACACATGACTTCCTGGTAACTGACCTATGGATCAAGGAGCTGAAAGTAGAGGAAAGTCACGTCGTTTGAGTGGTCCCCAAATGGATAAAGCCAGTTTTGAGATGCTTTGAGTATGTGTTGAGTATGTGTGTCTACTCTATGGACTGCAAAGGATTCTGCCCTTTTCTAGCCAGACTTGTCAAAGAGCGAGAAACATCTATGGCATACTTGGTACAGTACTCAGACATCCCTGGAATTCTCCAAAAAAGCTTCAAACTGAGCATCGTGCGTTTGGCACACCACGTTTTTCTTTTTTTCCCCATTCTCCACGGCCGAACTCCGTCGTTTCTTGTCTCACTCTGATTGGAAGAGGCCCACGCGAGCGCCGAGGCGTCGCTTTCGCTCCCGTTTTGCTCCCATTGCGCCAAGACCGCCTTGCCAAGGCGCCAAGAGCTTCAGAAGGAGAGACACACAGAGATGCCGGCGGTTCGATCGCAACTGGCTTGGAAGCACCGGTGGCTGGTAGCTATATACTACTGCAATCAGTGTGAGACAAAGTTATTTTCAGATTTTGTTTGGCAGGTGTGTCCCTGGACTCAAATAATGTGTAACCGGTCACGGTCCTCTGTGGATCAGTTTAGTTGCGATTGTCCCACAACTTCATCACCCTCTGTCCGATTTGTGATTCGTGAGGTGTGGTTCTACACTCTTCGGTCGCTGTCCTTCGCAAGCGGCGCTAGAGAGATCCGTGTGGGCTCCTCCCGCTAGGACCTGGAGCTTGAGCGTGAGCAGCGTGACCGGGCCCGAGCGGAAGCACATGAGCTGCGAACACAGCTGGCAGAAGCTCGCGCAGACGCTCGGCGATGTCGCCAGATTTCCGTGTAGTGGATGCAGTGGATGGGGCGGTGTTGCTTGAGACTCAGAAGCCAGTTGATGAAACATGATTTCCTCTGAATGGCTGAAGAAAGAAGCACCAAGGTCGAGATTCAGTTCCTCCCGAAAGGTTGCTCGCAGCCAGGTATTTGACCCAAAAAGGTGCTTGAGCTCCTGCTCTCATCTCTTCATTCACTCCCTTTCTGTGGAGTCCAAGGCCACATTTTGGAGATGGTTTCCAGGTGACCAGGTTTTCACGGCGAACGGCACGAACCGAGGAGTTGGAGACGGGCACGCCGGGCACTCGCGGCCAGGCGAGGGTCAGGTGATGTGGTGAGAGATCATGAAATACAACTCGGATAGTTTCAAGATAGTTTCAATATGATTCAAGACCATTCAGAATATCATCATATATATTTCAATTTAAAACACATATGGTTTATGAATGTTTATGAATTATCGCCATGGACCATTCGTATCCATTAGTAGTCAAAGTCAGCTCGTTCCTAACTGGTCCTACTTCAGCCCTGCTTGGGAGGCGAGCGGAATTCGACCGAACGACGGGGCGCCGCTTGACATGCCGAGTGCATAGGATGGCCAATTCTACGAGTTCGTGATCCATATCTCTATATATGGGGCCTGTCCCAGTAAACCAGTAACAGTCGGTCAATCAGAACATCACGATTTTTGAGAGTTAGGCCTGCAACCTAACCAAAAAAGAAATCCACTGTTATCTACTGGTAACGGGATAGACCCAATCTATATACACTTGCACACCCTGGCAGTTGGCGATGCTGCAGAAGGAGCGAGAGGAGATGGAGTGCGGATGCTCAAAGATGTATCATATGCTCCGGCTGATGCTCAGTTGGGGCTTTTTAAGGAGTTACTTCCACTGGTGCTCATGCGGCGCCATCTTCCCACGATTCCATGCTTCAAGTCAGCCCCTTCTCGATTCGTTGAACTTGCGCAACAAGACCAGGCGAGAAGCTTTTGCCAAAGATCAAGAAATCCAAAGGCAGTTCGGAAGCCCCAGAAGAAACAGACAGCAGATGCGCAGTTTTTGCGAATAAACGCAGATGCAAGCACTCTTTAACTGGCCTGTTTCGTTCGCAAACCTTTGACGTTCGCAGTGGTACACCTTCGCGACCCTTTGCGTGGTTTCCGGCGTTTTTCAGGTCAGCGAAGCTGGAGGCGCCATTGACCCGGTTGCGGTTGCGGGGTTTGGACAGATGCTGAGGTGGAGGTTGGTGTTGTTTTGGACACTGGGTCAGCATGGTGGGTAGTATTGCCAGGTCAGCACACTCAGATTTCAATTCGGAGCTCGATTGGACGGGACGTGCCTGCAGGAGCTCTCCCAGGCTTTGAAGAGGGAGTCTGAAAAGCTGGCACTGAAGGAACAGCAGATCAAGGACCACGGGGAGCATCCCGCTCCTCGGGGTGGACCATTCCGCCGGGTTTTTTCGGGCGACGCGACGCGACGGGTGGAGGTATGGTGAGAGGATGTGAGATGGTCGGAATGGTCGGAGCATGGAATGGAGGAATGGTCAGAACAAGATGAACAAGCTACACATCAAAATCTCTGGAAAGAAAAGACAACGTATACTTTTCTGAGGTTTATGCTCCCCTTGAGAACCTTGAGATGTATAATAGAGGGAATGTATGTGCAACATTTGGTCGACAGGATGAGCGGGATCTCAGAAGGCTGACTTGCCTTCAGATGCGCTCAAAATCGTGTAGCCGACATAGCCAATCAATGCCACAGCAACGAAGTGAGCACATATTTTTGTGCAAAGTTTGCCATTCACATTGGACAGTTAGAGTCAACATTTATCCCATGATAGGAGGGTAGACAGCATCTGGAATGGCAGTTCTTCAAAGATCATGCACATCTGTCCTTCGAAGATGCCCCTCTTCACCTCAAAAGTCACCAGCCGGATGTCAGAGTTCCGGATTTCGGGGTCACAGCAGCAAGAGATGCAGGATTCGGAGATGCGAGACTTGGTTGCACCGGCCTGGGTGGATACTCTGCAAAAGGGGGAGAAATGCAAAGCCACTGCCGGAGTGGATGGTGGACGGATATGGATGGTGGTCCCACGAGGTCCCGTGTGCTTCATGTTGCGTAAACGGCTCAAACGCAGGCCGGTCAGCCAGACGGAAGAAGGGATTGGTCAAAAAAAGACGACGGCGTCGAGAACGCGTGCGCGAAAGCGCGGCTCGCCTTGGCTTCGCACGAGGCCTTCTGCAGGACGTGGGAGATAGGGAGATGGGATCGGCAAACCCACCAGTCACTGCCGTAACCCGTTGTGCATTCAACGATCGTCTCATGAGTCACAGGTACTACGTCTGCAAGCTACAAAAAGGGCCTGAAGAGGTCATAGTGGAATGATTCTTGCCAGTTCTTGGAAGATCTGTCCTAATACCAATCAATACCAATTGGGAGGAGCTTGAGCAGGAGCGTGGACGTGGCAGAGCTGCACACAAGTTGCCACTGGCCGAGGACGCCACAGATGCTTGGCCGCCTTGTCAGGGCTCGAGAAGTGCGGATAAGTGCGGCCACATCACCCGTTCTGAATCCTGGAGGGTCCTGGATTGGTGTATCTTTTTCGGGGGGCCTAAGGATTCTTTGTGCTTTGTGCTTTGGTGGTGTCGGTTTCGGTGACACTTCAAGACGGTTGGTGGGGTCCTGTCGACGGCCCGGCTGACCACAGGTGACTGGTCCTGTCGACGTCCTAGGAGTCCTATGTCGATGGCACCAAATCATATACAAATACACACATATATATATATATATGTCTCCTCCAACCTATTCATATTGATATCAAATTGATATGATATAATACATTACTGATATGTTTACTTTTCATTCCCTTCATACCCGATACTAGGTGTATCAAGGGGTGTGGTCCGGGGGAGCAGCGCCCAGATCTCATCTTCGATTTCTGTGGCGCAAGTCGAATTTAGACGAGTCGACGAGTTTGCAACATGCTGCAGTGGAAGCCAACAGCGGGTGAAATCAACAGTGGAATCCTATACTACCCTGAACGTGGCGAACAACACTCGAGCCTTTTTTTGAACTTTCGGACCAAAACGCATGGCGAACAACCCTGAAACATACAAAACTCTTCGGGGCGAAGAATGAGTTTCTAACTCTGAACAGTTTGCAAGCTGATATTATATCATGAATTCGTTTGCCAACGCATGATATATATATATAGTATCACTCATGAATTCATGCAACATGCTGCACTGATCGAGGCGCCAGACACACCAAAGGCGTCAAAGGCGTCAAAGGCGTTTGGCGTTTGGGGGGGGGCGTTGAAGAGGGTTCTCGAGTGTGTGAACGAGGACCATCAGTGAGGTAGAATGCTTAAGAGTTCTTTTTTGATTTTAAGTGGGTGTCAGTGTCAGCGTTTCAAACAGCCTTAGATTCTGGCATCGTCCACAGTTGGCACTTTGTAGACTCGACCATGAAAAAACAAAGATGGACCGGTACCTCATTTGCGGACGTCTGACACTGGACAACGATGTCCTTTTCGATGTCCTTTTCGATGCGAAGCTTCTACCGATTTCGCACAACGTGACTTTGGTGCGCACTGTGTTTGCTTGGCGCAGGCGAGAGCGGAGAAGGTTCAGGAGCAGCTTCAACCTGAGGCGCAGCAGCTGATTTATTGGACGTTTTTGTGCATCACTTAAATGGATGCGTGGGGGGTTCCTAATAGCAACAAAAACTGGTTCATGTGCCGAAGAGGTGGCAAGAATGTTTTCAGCGCATTTACAAAACTGCATGAACATCAACCTTCCTATTCAGCACTCTTTTTCACCAACCGCATTTTAGTCATTTGCGCAAACATGTGAGCACGTCCAGTGAGTGCAGTACTTGCCAGCACTTCAACCCCCAGGTGCATCGAGTTCGTCCCAGTCCCTCGAAGTGTTTACCATGCAAGCTAACTCGTTGGCATGCTGGTACAAGTCAGTTAGCCTTTGCATATCTTTTCATCAGCGTTTTGCTTGTGGACCACCTCATGTCCAAACTCGGAGCTTCGAAATTCCAAACGTGGGTGTGGGTGCGCAAATGTTGTGCACGCCGGGGTCAGCAAACTACACAGCCGCATGACCGAGGTTCACGTGGAAGGAACTCAGTATTCGTGGCTTCGTGGGCTAAAAACATCGGATGTACTGTAATTATGCACATATTGCATTCAGCGTAGCACGGAAAGTTTTCATCTCAAGTTAAATGCAGAGAGTGTAGATTCTCATGACTCATCTAATGTATTATCTGGAGTCGAACACATTTCATTGGCATGATTTGCCACAGACCTGGTCCACACAGATTGTAAGTTGGATATAACTATACAACTATATATATATATATAGCCGGCTAGTTATATACAAATGCTAGGGTGACAGTGTAGCCCATACCAGTAACAGTCGGCAAAAGATCATCACTATTTTTGAGAAAGGCCTTTACTAACCATCATCCACTGAGGCCCTGGTAATGGGATATACCCAATGAAAGGCGCTGGATCCCCCAGAAAGCTCGGGGGGCGTTGGTCTCTTCGAAAGGCGCAGCGAAGCACTTCGGATGTCTTCCACGGTCCCACCGGTCTACTTTGGTCGCGCGTCGAGGCGGAACGCTGCGGGAAGCGGTTGCCGCAGCACCCGGGTGAGGCAGGGTTACGGAATTGATCGGTGTCCACCTGGTGAAAAAGCCGGAAGAAAAGGGTGCTCAGGAGATGTACCACATTTTACAAGATTGATTTCTCGGATTGGATGCTTTCAAAGCAAGCTACTAGTAGCAGCTTTCTTTGATGTTCGATGCTTCGAGAAAACATGTCGTTGGAAACGCGCAAACTCTTCTTCTTACCGCAATAGCAACAAACAGTGCTTTCTATGTTGTCAATCCTTCATAGCATCCAGGGATGTCTAGGGATACTATATACTGTATGGTGTAAGCTTTTGAATAAACGGATCAAGCAGAGACTGTGGGGACAGCTCGGCCGTACGTGGGGGAAGGCATATTCTTTTGTACTCTCAACAAAAGCGTGTGTAAAGGAGAGACTGAAATTTAACACGGGCCAGGGCGCAGGTCCCAGGATTGTTGTCTCCACCGGATTAGTCTTCTCGACGTGACTGGTTCTCAGGTGGCCACTGTCGCGCAAGTTCATGGGCTCATGGCACAAGTCGAGCGCCTGAATGCCACAGTCGAGCACCTGGCGGCGAAGCGGGAGCCGCAACTGGTTGACCCTGAGGCAAGGATGAGTTTGTCTGAAAAAGGAGAAGCGATTCTCAAGCACGGGGTAGTGCTTCATCCTTTGTGCAAGAGGACTTTGAGAGACGCCTTTCATTCTCAAATGAAGGTGCAACGAGAGATTTCCGAGTTTCGATCAACATAAAACATCACTTTTCCGGAACTGCTCTGCGGGAGAATGACCTTGTAGCAGGATAAGCTCCATCCAACACCAGGCTGCAAAGATTCCTTGATTGGCAGGCTGGCCCCTCCACAAGGAGATGCCAAGCACGCGCAGCACGCGCGGCACGCAGCCCATTCTGCTTCGACGAAAGCAGCATACTGTCTGGGGGCCCCAGCGGTGAGTGGTGTCACACAGCGGAACCGCACGGTGGAACTGGGGAACCCGCTCCGAGCGGCTCAACCAGTATAACTGACATCATGTCCATACCTGGAACCTCCAGAAACAGTTCTGGTTGGATACCGAACCCAGTCTGGCGCCAGCTTGAGATCCACACATCGGACATGGGGACTAGGTTTCGTTCCATCCAGAACTCTCTCTCTTTTCTGGTTGGGACTAGGTTTCCAGGGGTGGAGGACATGATCTTCAATCGGACGGACGAAAAACCCGATCGCAACGGCGTGGTTATGGCCCTCCCTTTAAGAGAACTTTTGGAGGAGCTCTTGGAGGGATCGAGGAAGTGTGAGATTCCTGCGGAAATAGCATGCAAACGTGATTTCCACACTGTTGCTGCTTATAACCATAATCCACATTGCCTCACAACTTTAGCCCAGACTTTTCGCGAAAAGCACTGCTCCTAAGCAAGCCCTGCAAAAGAAATACAGCGCCCAAATTCACCTGGAAACACAAATGCCAGTGGCACAGCAACATCACAAATGCTGCGCCTGTACCGTATAACAACACGCCACATCTCCAAAAGTCATAAGCAACCTCGTGCGGTGCAAAATGGTGCGAAGGCCATAGACCTGAAGACTGCCATAGAGCTTGTGTTCCATGTCACGGATTCGTGCGTGTCGTGCGTTTCGCGCGTTTCATTTCAGAGGATTGCAGGTGGATTGCTTGATCATGTGGGTGCGAGCGTTGAGAAACGCACACGTCGAAGCGTGCGTTCGGTGACCTCACAAGATCAGCGGTCGAACAGAAGGGTTCAACACAGGAATTTCGAAAAAACATGTCGTGCCGATGTGTTTGAGCACTGACAGCCTCTGAGCGCTCCTTTTGCTCAGGCCAGATGCAACAGATGCGCCGAGCCCATCGGGCCGTTTATCAGGTGCATGCGGTGCAGATTCAGAGAAAGGTTTGCAATACTCTTTATAGTGATCCCCTACAAACGGTTTCCAAAACGATCGTAGGATCTACTTTTCTATCTATGTGTCCTGCAGCAAAAACTGGAGGCAGTTGTGTTTAAAATGCTAGCATGTACATTTAGCATCGCTAACATTCTTTTTGTTTGTAGTTTGTCTGCACAGTTTCTTCACTTGAGCAACAACAAGTCGTGTAATGTATGCAACACGCGTCTACAAAGAATCATATCGTTGGAAGGATCGGGAAAAACTGCGTTCTTTCAATCATACCGTTGGCCAGCTGTGTTGTGTAGCCCTTATATAAATCAGCTATACTTTGCCTTCTCATGAGATGGTTGATGGGGTCCCAAACCCAACCATCTTTGAACACCCACTTCTTGTGTCAACTTGTCTGCCAGACCCGTTTGTACCGAACGTTCCTTCTGACCCAAGAGCTGCAAGCGAGACGCTTCTGTCCGGGCGCCCAGGAGACATGTGTCGCAGTGCACCACTTCTGTGTGTGACGATGAAGAAGTCATATAGGTCAAAATTGACAGTATTTTCGCTAAGACATGATTTCTTCAGATAATGGGCTCTTGAAGAGTGGTTCGCAGGTGAGGAAGTTTGGGATTTGATTCACTTGGAGATGATTTGTTCCCTGCTCTCTGCAGTGCTCTAGACAGGCGACGTCAGATGTTGTGCCTTTTTCGGCCAACAGGCCAGATCTTGAAGCCACGGATGCCACAATTGAGCCTCCACGGGTGCACGCTGAGCCGGGCCGGCGCCGCCTTTCAGGTGTGCATCCGCTGGGAAAGGAAGCGATTTGTTTTGTCTTTTATCCGAAAAGGAGACTGAACAGCTGCGGCTGCAAAGTATCTGCAAAGCAAATATGTATGCATGAAATGGTGGATGTGTCAGCAGCCCTCAAGTCTTCTTGG